ATGACTACATTGGCGTTCGTCATAGACGCCGCGAAGGCCGTGGTGAAGGCCAATTCTAAGCACCGCGTGACCCAGGTGAAGGCCGTGGTGATGCAGCAGCAGGGAGCTCCATTTGCACCAGCCAGCGAGAGTCCTGTACCCAATCCACCTGAGGCCTTTGCGGAGGCGATGCGCCTCCAGCCCGTGATGCCGCTAGTTCCTGTGGCCATGGCCAAGGCCAATGCAACGCCACCGCCGAAGCCGCAACGGGTCTCTGCGCCGCAGCCGCGTTGGAAAGCCAACGTGCTGTGGGTGCCGATCCAGCGCCACCCGTGTGGGGAGGTCGTGCAGCCGAAGCGTCTGCCCGCCATCGCGCTGCCAGATCAGTGATCGGGTTCTTCGGCGCAGGACTGGAGCGTGCTCGTCTGTGGCGCAGCTGATGACGGGGACGGGGGTATGGGAGGAAGTGGGAAGTTGATGGGGGATGGAGGATTGTTGCGCGAGATGCGGCAACACTCGGCTGCCTCAGCAGCGCAGTGGAGCTAACGCAATGCGCCAGGAGCCCGCGTGATGGTCATGACATTCACGCTGCCTGCGAGAGCAAAGGCGTCAGGACGAGTACGAAGCAGTATTGCACACTTAGCTTCTGACAAAAACTTTGTTCGATTCTAAGTGCTGCTCGGCGGCGGCCACCTCGAGCTACGAACCCAACTACTTCGGTGCATGTGGGTTGCATGTGCGTTTTTCTCACCAGCTCGCCCCTCCCACGTCGAGCCGTCGTCGGCCTTATCGTCGTCAGGAAAGGTGATGGGGCTGGGGGTTTGGGGGTGGGGGTGCGGGCCATTGGCTCTGGGAGGCGCGCTCTGACCAAGGAGGCGCGTTCTGGCCGCGACCTGGTCATGTAATGCTCTGGCCACATGCCCTAACACAAGAGTTCAAGCCCTCGCGCCCCCCCTCCCTCCCCCACCACCACCCCCCTGCGCCGACACTCGAAAACCAATGCAGGGATAGGGAGAGTGACGACGTGGGCGCGTTCTGACCATGTTGGAGCGTTCTGACCAGCGAGGCGCGCTCTGGCCAGGGTGCGTTCTGACCTGAATCGTTCTTCATGTCCCACATGGGGGGTCCTCTACATGCGTACAGCGCTCCAGGCGCGTTCTGTCCAGGGAGGCGCGGTCTGACCGTGGAGGCGCGTTCTGACCAGACCCGTTCCCCGTGAGGAGCCCTACCAGAGACATCCGGCAACTTTTGCCTTGGCCCTCCCAACGTTGGCATCAGTAGCAAGAGTGGCTCAAGCGGTTTCGGCATCTCGGTGTTTTCTTGCAGGGCCAAGCTTGCAGTTGACAGGTGGCGATGCCGCCCAAGGGGTTACCTAGCCTGGCTGATGTCATGGCCGAGAGTGACGAGCTTCGTCGCACGGTGAAGTGGCAGAGCATGGCCATCACCAAGCAGAACCAGCACATCCAGTGGGTCGGAGCCCGCGCGAAGGCGTTCCACGAGGCGAACCTCAGGAAGATGACGGCACTGACGACCTTCATAGCGGATGCGAAGGCGAAGGCTGTGATGAAGGCCAAGCCTAAGCAGCAGGGCGTGATGGCGAAGGCCGTGGTGAAGGCCATGGTGAAGGTTGCGGCTCCGCTACCACCGCCAGTGCCAATTCCGAAGCACGCCATTGTGCCAGCGGGTCCGAAGCACAGGGGTCGCCCGCCGAAGCATCAGCCGAAGGCCAAGGCCTTCAAGGCCCAGGGCCTGGGTGAGCCACCGCCGCCGAAGTTTGCGCCATACGTGCCGCCAGATCGGCGTCTGCCTGATGAGATCCCGCCGCCAGTCCATCGGTCGGCGGAGGGGCGTGTCATCCAGCCGACGGCGCCGTCCGTCATCCCGCTGTTTGATCGGTAGCCAGGTCTTCGGCACAGAACAGGGTTGAGCTCGTAGCGTGCACGCCTGGCGATGAGGACGGGGGCAAGGGAGGACTGTACGAAGTTGGGGGGCTGAATGCTGCATGGGGTGCGGCGGCACTTTGTTGTCTCACCAACGCCGTGCATTTCAAGGCGTGCTGAGCTCGAGTTTGCGTCATCGGTAACACGCGACATGTGTGAGCGCTGTCGCGGCAGGTGGATCATCATATCATTGCTTCTTTCCTTTCGCTTCGGGCGCGGCGGCCGATTCCACGTGCGACCCGATGGGTGCAGCCCGATCGACGCACCCATGTGTTTAGGCGCAGGTGATTTGCAATATTCTGCCTATAATTTGCCCCCCCCCCTCCCCCCCCGCACAGCATCAATCCGTCGTTGACCGTATCTTCGTCAGGGGAGGGCCGCAAGTCATTGACCATGTGGGGCGCGTCCTGGCCATGGAGGTGCGTTCTGACCACAATCTGGCCATGCATGCGCGTTCTGACCACGGGGGGAAGCTTGTCCTGACGCAGAGGGGGGAACGTTTCGAATTCCCGCGCCAGCGCCGCCACCCCCCCCATCCCGCCGCAAGTTGAATGCCCGTTTAGGGATCAGGAGAATTGTGATGCAGAGGAGGAGGAGGATGTTGAGGTGGGACCTTCGGGGGGCCTCATCAGTCCACCCATCTGCTTTCTCTAACCGTTGCGGCTGCTTCCCTCGCGGCCCGCCCATCGCTCTCTTCGCGGCCCGTGCTGTACACGATCGTCGCGCAGGCGCGCCCCGCGCTTCTGTCGCAGCCCCGCGCTTCGGAGCATGCGGGGGTGGGTGGGTGCGGAGGCCGGAGGAGGGCAGGAAGCTGCGATGGTGGCAAGAGGCTGGATGGCGGATAGCGTTTTGCCGTGTCTCCAGCCATTGCTTTGCCATTCAGCTAGCCACCATCTCTTGCCCCTGCGTTTGGGTCCACGGCCACGGTCTGATTCCAGCTCTGCAGGCTGTCGCATTCGCCGCATCCCCTCTCTCATCCTCGCACTGAGTCAAGGACCTCATTGCATCCGACGCTCCCCCCACTCGCGTTTCCTAATCGCCCTTCTGGTGCTGCCAATTGCGCAATTGCCGCCGCTTGCGCGAGCTCCTGGCGTGTCAATCGGGGCAAAGCCCCATGTTGAGAGGGGGGGGTGCGGCAGTGAACCGTGCGGTCTTGGGAGGTGCTCCTATCATCATGCCCAGCCATTCCTCACGCTCCTTTCATTCGGCCACGAGCTGGTTGGTTGGTCGTTTGGCTGGACGTGCGTTGTCCCGCAATCCTACTATCTGATACGTCAGCGTTCCTTGCTGTATCTTCCCAGGGCCAGCGTTCATAACAAGCGGGATATCAACGCGAGGAGCTTGTGGCTTAAGACTTTGCTGGGCTTCTGGAAGCCATATCGGGCCTTTCTTGGGGAGCTATGGGGCAATGCTGCGGACTCACGTTGCTTCAGAGACCGTTGGGCAACGTAAGGGCGAGAATGCGAACCGCAATAACATCATGTAGGCGTTAGGCTAGACACCTGTTGGGTTTCGAATGTTCGTTGGGCGGGTCCTCAACACCGTGGGCCCGCCTTGGAGCTGCCTTGGGGCCTACTGGAGCATGTCGGGCACACAGTTGAAAGATCTTGTTTTATCGTGAGCAATATTGGAGTCACTATGTGGCTGTTCTTGCGAACCCTCGGAACCATCTTGTGCCATATTGGACGTGCTGGCCAGTCGCGGCGGTACGTCACGACCAGGAAAGAATGGGTCGGGTGAGGGGTGTGCCAGTACCTCGTGCTGGTGTTCAGGTCTACGACCTGCACGTGGGATCGAGTCCGCCCCTGAGCACACTGCTCAGCGCGCCCGTTGAAGATCCCACCAACCCTTGAGGGCCTGATATGTTTAAAGCCCCCCCCCCACATCACCCACCCACTCCCCTTTTTCAGGCCCACCCGTTCATCCCATTCGGGGGCAGGGGGGGGGAGGCGCCGTCGTATTGGAGGCGCGGGGCGGGCCACAAGGGAAAGCGGGACTCAATCGTTGACGGGGGTGATCGGGGGTGGCGACGCGGCGTGCGCAAGGGGGTCGGTTTCGGCGGATGGCCAACGCAGGCCGCGTTGGAAGTTGCGCACCCCCTCCTCTTTGTGACCCGCCCCCTCGCACCCCGAGGTCCACGGCCGCGCCCCCGTCGCCCGAAGCACCTCGCCAATGTTCATTATGCCCCCCGCCGAAGTGCCGTTGCCGCCGCTGCGAAGGTTGCAGATGCCACCCCCCTTGCCGCGGGCTGCGGGGCTACTGCCGCGAGGCCGTTGAGGTTCGAGCAGCAGTGATTGTTGCTTGAGCCCATCCAACAGTCGGCCTCGTCCCAGCGGCTTGGCTTCGGCACCAACAGCCTCAGGGGCCATGTCAGAGCGGCAGCCACCTGAGCTGCGCGGTGGCCCGCGTGGCGGCCGCGTCCAGCCTGGCAGGAAGAGAGGCGCCTTGTCGCAGGGCCAGAAGCGCATCCTCTCGGCCCAGCGCGTCGCAGATCACGATGCGGCCAAGCGCACGCGGAAGGCCGCGTGCGATTGTTGCGGGGCTCCTGCGACGGTCACTGCCCCAGGCGAGATGGTTGCGGTTTCGGTATCAAGCGGGAGCGGTGCCAATGCACCCGTCGATCCATTTCTGTTCGGTGTCCTTGCATCGGATCGCGGGGCCCGATCTCCGTTCCTGGCCGACTGGGGGTCTCGAGGATTCGCTCCGCACCGCCCCCTTCATAGCACTACTGATAGGGCCCGAACCTCAAGGACCAGGTCCCTACACCCTACCCAAGCAGTCCCGTAGCCTCAAAGGCCTTAAACCTAGGCCCGAAGCTTAATGCCTAAATCCCGAACCTCAAAGGCCAGAACCTCACCGACTCGCCACCTAACCTGGACTGCTTAGACTGGCCACCCTTACGCCCTAACCCTAAGATTAGCCTAAGGCCCGAACCTCAACGGCCCGCCTTATAACCATACGCCAATATGTTGTAATACTAATGTCAGATCGCTAACGCCCCTGGCCCTCGGAGTCTTGCACGAGGCCAGTCGCCCTAAAGGCCATGATGTCCCAACAGCCTTGGGCGCCCGACCTGCTGAGGCAGCCTCTACGCCCAAGGGTGGCTTGAACCAGTGCGCCAAGCACAAGGGTTACTACGACTCCTACATGAACGGTATCACATGGGAGCAGTTCTCGGCTATGTACCAGGTCGAGAAGACGGGGATCACACTCGACAAGGCATTCGAGCAGCACTCCAACGGCAAGGGCCCGAACTTCGTACCCGAACCAGCTCAAATTGGCCAGTCTTTCAAACAGCGTATGGTGGTTAAGTACACTGCCCCAACGATGAGCGACTTGAAGTATACAGTGAAGCAAGTATTCGATTGGAATATCACCCGCAAGCTCCTGGCTGGCGTCCCGATGGTGAAAGCCAGGGACCCGCGCACCGACCAGCTGGAGGAGTTCTACTTGTTCCCATACGACCCCGTCAGCGACTTGCCCACCTGGGTCTGTGAGTTCGTCTTGGAGCAAGGCCAGCGCAAGCAGGCCATGTCGCCAGAGCAGCACGCATACTTGAACCACGGCGAGGAGGTCTTCGACTGCGTGAAGAGCACCGTGGACTCCAAGTATGGCCCGACAGACAGCAAGTACAAGCTGACGGTTACCTGGGAAGATTTCCAAGATCGTTTGGCCACGAAGGAAAACAAGAGGATCGCGAAACTCCAGCCAGGCAAGGCTGTCAATGTCAATGACGATGATGACGATGACGACATTGGTGGCCCCGAAGTCGGCGGTGATGGCAGCGCCAAGCAGCAGGCGCGCGGGCGAAGAGTGAGTTGCGGGTCGGGTGCCAGCTCGAGGGCTCGCTCGGCGCCAGGTGCCACGGGATCCGCACAGGACATGGTTGTCGATCCCGCCCCGCCAAGTCTTGCCACAGTCCCAATGGGCAGGATTACGAAATCGTTGGAAGTGCTGTCCGATGCGGAAGGACCCCGCCGCAGCCCGCAAGCCAGCCCCCGCGGCCCGCCCTCGGCGGCCAAGTCCGACTCTGTCTGCGCCTGTGATTGGTGGGGAGAAGGTTCACGCCGTGCACGATAGCGACGGTGACACCGCGAGCCAGACGAGCCTGATCACAATCGCCAAGACTGTGCGAATGCAGTTACAGGCCGATGATGCCACCATCTGCAAGGATGACCCAGCCGACGTCATCGTCGCAGATCACAGGAAGCGTTGCGACCTCTGGAAGGCAATGGAGTTGGGCAACCAGGGGAACGCTCGTCACCAAGCCACGTTGGCAGCGAGGCGCCTTCGCGAGAAGAAGCTCAACACCAAGGCCGACACGATCGATGCCTGGACTCAGAAGCATGCCAAGGTGGAGGAACTCTCCCACGTGAAGATCTTCAAGGCGGACCCAGAAACCGTGAACAATGCCCTGAAGTGCGCGTTGCTGGAGTTCGATCGGCTCCCCCTCCATGTGGAAGTCGACCTGGTGACTATCAAGGCGCGGGACGCCCGCATGCGTTGCGACTTGGACGCAGCTTCGCTCAACGCCTGCTTCGACATCCTCTGGCCCATCGCTGTTGTTCACGGAGATGGTGGGAATGGGGAGCCGCAGCCAGAGTTTGATTGGTATGATCCCATGGGGTCGCTGATGAGGTGCAGCTTTAAGGACAAGGCGAAGCTATTCAGGAGCGAGTGGACGCAGGCGGTCGTGGTTGACGGCATGTGCACGCAGGACGATGGTGCCTCTGCCGATCTGATCCAACGACATGCCGAGCACGTCCTCAACAAGCTGAAGCAGAATTGCAGCGAGTTCGGCGAACTGACTGACGGCGCAGCGGACCTCATCGGGGAGACTCTGCTCATGATGAGGGTCATTTGCGGCCTCTGCGACATGAGGAACCTCGTGCACGATGAGTACTTCATGGCCGTTGACAGCTTCTCGCGGGTCAACTTAGCGGGCAAGGAGCTTTCGCCCATGCCGCACAAGTTCTACTGCGCCCTGACGGAGTCAAAGTTCTTTGGCAAGCTGTTCTTCAAGTTCTCCGATTTGCGCCCGATGCTGTTGGACTTCAGGGCCAACAGTGCCATGGTTGAGGACTTCATGGAGGGAGTGACAGAGGACTCGGACTCCAAGGACGGCTCTCGTACGTTCGACATGGGCGACCCTGACGCGCTCACGAAGTGCTTGACTGTCTACAACACGGCGGGTGCAGCTGGCCTCACCGATGTCGTTTCGGGATTCGGGAATGAGGTTAGCAAGTGCGTCGTCAATTACGGGGAGATGTTGTTGGAGGCGGTCAGTGCCGCCCCTGACGCGGGGTTGCACTGCGATATCGTTAGCGGCTTCAGCAAGGTCCTCTCGGAAGCATCTGTGACGTTCCCCCACAATGGCGACATCGCTGATCAACTTAACAAAATCGGGCTGATCCTGCAGAGAGGGGCAGCAACGACGAACACGGACAAGGTGTTCGGCTCGTTGCGCGATTGCGCCGAGGACCCCTGCGACGAGAAGCTCGACCTCGTCGTGCAGACGCTCAATGCGAACAAGCATTTGGAGATCTCCGTTGCGCAGGGCACGGATGTCAAGAATTACGTGGTCTCCCTTGTGAAGAGCACGATCGTCAACCCAAGCTTAGACATCACGCACAGCAAAGTGAACGACGTGTGTTGCAACTTCCTCAAGCTCGTGCCTGGCGGCGCCGACGACTTGCACGCCCTGGCAACCTCCATCGTGTCATTCGTTGCGCGCACCAAGCGCCTGACGGAGTCCATTGCCGCGGTCGGGGAGAGGGGTGCAGATTCGGAGGCTAGCGATAACATCGATGATATCGTAGACTTGAAGCAGGCCTTGGACGTTATGGACTCCACCAAGCCTCCGCCGAAGTCGTGCGAGCTGCAGGGCGGGCACTTCAGCGACGTCATCGATTCATTGCATGACAAGGCTGGCTCCGAGAGTTCGAATGGGAAGGAGCTGCTGACGGCGTTCTCCACGAAGGAGGTCGACCACTCCAAGAACTCGATGGCCACGCTCACGTCAATAATCAACCAGGTGGCTGGCGGCATGGAGGACAGCAAGCACTGGCTGGATGGCTTCGTCGAGCCGCGGAAGGTGAACCTCAAGACGTTCCTTGCGTACGCTGGGAAGACGATCCGCAAGTCGGAGGTGGCCGCGTCCTTGGACGCTCAGGTGGACAAGTTGCTCGAGGCCAGCTGTGTTGCCCTTGGGCGGGAGGGCGTGGCAGGAGGGAAGATGGGGAACGCTGGGGAGGGGGGGGAGGGGGATGACGAGGAGGAGAGAGGAGGAAGCGGAGAAGGGGGAGGAGGAGGTGGACGCGGAAGAGGAGGATAAGGATGAGGAGGAATAGGAGGAGGAGGAGGATGAGGAGGAAGAGGAGGAGGATGAGGAAGGGGGCTCCGCTAGGCGAAGCAACGCTACGAGGAGTTCGCCAGCACCCTGAAGTTCAAGATCGACACCGCCGCGATCCGCGAGGCGGAGATTGCGATGAAGGCGGCCGCGCAGACGTTCGCGGCAGGCAGGATCATCTACTATTTCGAGAACTGCAAGACGACTGCCGACAAGAGGAACAAGGTCGCAGATGCGGTGAAGCGCTACTTGGATGGTGCGACGACCGACTGCCCCAGGGCCATCGCTGACTTTGGCAAGTCGGTCTGCGAGATCATCAAGCAATCGAAAGAGTTCACGGCCTAAGCCGATCATCGAGCTGCCGATGGATTTCACGGCCTGGCAATCGAGCTGCCCATGGAGTTCACGGCCTGAGCCGTGGTCGGGCTCGGGGGAGGCCGATTGGGCGTTCGGCGCCACTGCGTATCCTAAATGCCTGCGGCATCCCCCGCCGTCGCACCAGCCCAGCACCTTGGGCGGCGACTGTTCGATAGGGTGCGCGCGTGGCCGTCGCGAATAGCCTATCTGGGACGTCTTGGGGAGCTTCGGAGCGCCTGGGGGCACCCCTTGGGATGGCTTTGGGTGTATTTGGGCTGTTTGGCGCTTGTTGCGCCAATATCGGGCTCCCTTCTGGGTAAAGTTGGCCTCCTCCCTTGGGTGGTGGCTGTTAGGGGCGCTTGGGTACTCTCGCGATCCGTCTTCGTGCTGTCTTCGGGCCGTCTCGAAATCATATTGGGCCATGTTGGGTATATCGGGCAACCTGTAGAGCCCCTGGGTGAGTCTGAAGTCGATGCCCGTCACCTCGCTGGCCGCCTTGGGCCGACGGGTGCTCAAGACGGCGAGGGCCCGCTCATGTTCGAAAAACGTGTAAGGCACATCGTTCATTCTTGTCTCTTCGAGCCTACTGAGGCGGGGGAGGGCCATCCCTCTTGGGCTGTCTCGCGCGGCGACTCTTGGGGCGTTTCGGGACAGCCTCAGAGCCGTGTTGGGGCCATCTTGAGCGGTCTTGGATGCACGCAGGGTGGCCTTTGCTGCCGCTGGGGGTTGCCTGATCTGGTTTGGCAGCCATCCATAGGCGCTTTGTGTTGAGAGCGTCAGGGGCGAGTGGGGCCCCCAGGGGCCATGTGTAAGAGGGGGCGGCGCGCGCAGGCGCGTGTTTCGGCGGGGTTGGGGGCGTTGAACACCATGGGTGTCTAGCGGGGCGCCCGAGGAACACCCGCAACCCTACCCGCCCCTCCCTAAGGCCACCATGAGGCCGTCATCGGGCCTCAGGGGCGCCCCAACCCGATGCGAGTTGGCATTCAGCGATGCCCCACCGTGCCCACGGGCACGGCTGTGCATATACGCGTAGGAGGCGGGGGGTCGGAGTCGGGAGGGAGGAGTGCGCGGAGGTGGGAGAGGGAGACCTGCACATGAGCAACGTCCGTCTCGGTCGGCCTCCCCCCGCGCGCGCGCGCCTGTCGATTGGGCGCGCAAGCTCGGTGACTGCGTCGGTCTCTGCGCGGCGGCGCGACGCCGCCACCTTTCAAAGCGCGAGGGCACTGCCCTCTCGAGTTCCCCCTGCGTCGGGGAGAGGACGGGGGGGGGATGCACGCAGCTTGGCTGGTGCAACACATGATGGGCGGGGCGCGGGAAATCCATCATTTGCTTCATTTTCAGATGGGCTCACCGACACATTTATCAGCGCCCCCCGCCGCAACCAAAACCAAACATATGATGACGAGGCGGGAGCTCACCAGTTCGCCGTGTGCGGCGTGCGCTGCCCAGGGATATTCTTTTTCGGGGGGTTCGCGGCGTTGGCGGGAGCCGCGCCCTGCAAATAAAAAATGAGCTTATTTTGCACATCCCCCCACCCGCCATCCCCTCTTCTTTCTCGGGTTTGGCCTTCTCCTTGCCCCACCCGCCTCCTCAACCTCCTTCTCCGTGCCCTGCCCGCCTCCCATTCCTCCTTTATCGCTGGCTCCGTGGCCAGCGGCTGCGCTTGCATATGGCAGCTCGTTGTTGGATGATTCAACATTCAATTCTTGGAACGTGTTCTGGAATTCCGTTGGGATTTTTTTGGCGGGGCGGACACTTGTTCGAACACCTAGGGGACGTTGGAAACCATTGCCGACACTTTGCGACCATCCTCGTATCCTTTTCTTGTACGTTTCGCAAGCAGTTTTAGGACATATCACACACATCGATAATAACACTTTTTGGACACTTTTCTGGTACTTTTATGGGTTTACTAACATGACAGTCTGTAGAGGGCTCAGCGAGTTACGGGGGTAGCGTTTTGTCCGCTCGCCTGGGCGTCTGACTTTTCGTGCGTTCGTTCATTTTCACACCGGCGTTTTTCTCCGGCTGCAGCGTTCTGGACCGGGCTTTGGGGCCGAATCGGGCATGGTGAGAGAATCGCACCTCGCACCTTGAAGAACACATGCGGGTACCCTACACTTGCACCCCTTTGGGTGCCTGGTGTTCGTTGTCAAGGGGCCGCGCCCCCATGGCACCGCGACGTTGGCCGAGTTAGAGCCGAGAGGCGAACTCGGTGTCCCTGTGGACCATGGCGCTTGCAACTCCTACAATATTTGAGGCTGGGGCCGTTTGCCCACCGAGGTATCACTGCGTTTCGCACCACTCGCGACGTCAAGCTCCCATCCGGTCCTCTGCGCATCCCAATCTAGGACATAAGCGCGGCCGCGGCGCAGCCGTGCGCGGATTGATATTTTCTCGCCGCGCGAGAAGGGGGCGCCCGAACGGATGGCGCCGGCACCGCTTGGAGTTGAAATTGGCAAGACGCGCGGGGAATGCACGACCAACCTCGGGGGTCACTTTCCCGGCCTGCCGGGATAGCGCAACCAGGGCCCGCCGTCTCCTGGAAAAACTCCATGGGAAGCGCTGCACGAGGAAGGGCCTGGTCGCGCACCGAGGCCGCGCGCACGGACGCCCTTGAGCAGGCGCTCTGTTCGCGCACTCCAATTTGCTGCTTAGCGCCAAGCAAGCAGGCTTAGCGCCAAGCAAGCAGGCTGTGGTGACCGCGGGCGGGCAGCCCCATTTGGAGGGCCCGGTTGTTGGTTGGAGGCAATTACCTTAACGGCGCCAGCGGCGCGCTGATTATTGAGGCAGATCCGCGCGAAGCTCCCGCCTCCCTGAAAGGAGTCTGGGCTGCGGCGCGGAGAGCTGCAATGTCGCCCGCGCCTGACCTCCTGTCGGCGGACGTCGACGCTGCGCGCAGACGGTGCCCAGGGGAACGCCGACTTTCGCGGAGTTGCCGCGCCGGTTGTGGCCAAAGGAATAGATTTACAGTGACGGCGCGCCCGGATTCAGACATCCTGTGTTGCGCTGTTTCCGAGCTGTTCATGGCCTTTGGCGGTTGGCGGTCTGGGATCGACTGGATGGAACATGCCCGGCGAGTGCTTCAACGCCGCGGCTGGGATTGGATTTGAGATGTAGCCGACAGCCTGCTCGCGAAGAACACCGCGGCTAGTCCGTTCGCGCTGCGCCGTTACGTGGACGATCAAAGGGCTGAAGCCGCGCCGAGCCGTGGGAGAGTTGAGACATCATTGAAGGACGCGGAGGGGGCGCGCGGATAGTCCGAGTCTTCAGCCCCCACACGACAGGCCCAGCGAGGTCCGGCGAGGTATCGGGCAGACCAAGGAGAGACGAGGCCCAGGGGAGCGTCGGGCAAATTGATGAAAAAACGACCCGGGCGAGCATCCGGCAAACCGAAGATGATTCCAGCGCGCCCCGATGCATGAGTAGGCAAGCTGTCTAGATTCATGTAGTTGCATTTCCTGGGTCCATGGCGGCCGGGTGATTGAACGTTGCGTCGCCGCCCGCCCCCCCCAGCCTTCCTCCGAGCCCGCGCGAGCCGCGGCGGAAAGTCGGGCACTTGTCCAGGCGATCCCAGCAAGTCTTCCATGGCAGGCGTCGCGGCGACGCGGCGGCCTGCGCGGAGTTACTGAAGCGAACTGTGCACATTTCGGTTTTTGTCAGAGGGGCGTCGCGGCAGCGCGACCTTGCAAGTTCACGGATGCGAGCGATCAGCTGAGGCGGGCGATGCCCATCAGAGGAAACGCATTGCGATATTCGTGGGCACTGAGTTGAGGGGCGTCCACGGCCTGCCCGAACGAGAAGGCTTGACCGAACCCAAACCTGTCAGTCTTCAGACGTGCATCGACTTCCTCACAACAGTAGCGAGAGAGCAGTAGACATAGCAGAGCACGCGCAGCAAACGCATCCACGGGGCGAACGATCGGGGAAGGGCCAGTCGAAACATTGGCGCCCCCCCGCCCAGCGTTCTTTCCGTCCTTTTCTGGAGCTCCTGGGGGCTCCCTGTCGCCGCTTCTGGGCCCGGGCGCGCGGCGTTGACGTCCGCGGGCCCTGCGTTTTCGATCCGCGGCCCCAGCGGCCCCGACCTTTTCACCGGGGCCAGTTTTTCGCTCCGGTGCTTCATGTGAGAGCCCCAGCCAGACAACGGCCCCAGACGCCGAAGTCGAGAGAAAGCCGCCAGTTGAACTACCCTGCGACGCGCCCAACCAATTTGCATCAAGTGATCAGATTAGTCGTTCGGCATTGTTACGGACGATTGTTCAAACTAGTCACATGGAATGCGCGCGCGTTCCACGACTCGGCAGACAGCGACAGGAGGGCGAGGTCGGGGGCCCCAGTCTGGGAATGAGGGGCAGGAGAAGGACGCGAGGGGGCAGCGAAATGTCAGCGCGGCAGCAGCGGGGAGACGGCGGAGGAAGCGGACGACGCCGAAAGACGCAGGATGAGGAAGGAGGGCGGCGATTTTGTCCAATGGGGCGCTCGAG